TTTCCCCAAATGTTAATACATGCCAAGACATAATTTTGTGCAGATAATTGCATAAAACCCCCGACTTGTGTTAGATTCCGATAAACACAAGCTCCTTAAGGGAATCGAACCCTCGACTTGTGTTGGATTTCAACACTTTACTCATGGCTTCATCAAAGACATTTTTTTTTTTCATGTAGTGATTCATGGGAATGATTCCAACCTAGCTATAAAAATCACAAGCACACGAAAATTTTACGTTTCAACTTCAAAAACTATACTATTGGATTCACTACAACAAGAAAAAGCTCATCTTCAACAAGCTAGTTGTTAATTGTCCCCATGCAAAAGAACTTCAAAAACTGTGATATTGGAATCAAAAGTGATGATAGTCGTCCAAAACAAGTATGAGCTTACGCCATACAAAGAAACATGTCACCACTAACATTGGTCAAGAGACATGTACATAGTGCTGTTAAATTAAACAAGTCAGACTCAACTCGAGCTCGGCTCATTTGATAAACGAGCCGAGCTCCGACTAATTTAAAGCTCGTTTGGTGATAAGGCTCGAAAAGAGAATTTTTATTTAATTCGGCCCGTTAAATCTCGAGATCGGCTATTTATTGGTGAAATGAGCCGAGCTCGAGCTCGATTTCAGGCTCGTTTATTTAACGAGCCGGGCCCAGCTCGGCTCGGCTCGTTAAGGGCTCGAGCTCGAGCAACCTAAGCTCGAGCTTCGCTCGACTCATTTACAAGCCTACATGTACATGTACATGGCATTGGCAACGATTTTCTTGGTTTGCATTTGTCATTCCAATAAGCATTGTCGAGACTCGAGATAGTCAAACCCACTTCTACAAGAGTTTTGACATGCATTCTGTAGTAAACAATGATACTCTACTAGAGTTGACGCGTATGTATAGCATGATCGAGGTTCAAGCTAGTCAAACGCACGTCTAATCATTTCACAAAAACCACTTATTTCGAGTTCTCTTACCACGGAAACTCCTTTTACTAGTAACAAAAGTAACAAATATACAAGTCAAAACGATTGGATTTCCTAGCAACATGCTCACCGCGCAAGCAAAACACAATGCCACCATTCGTTTATAAGGAAAAAAGAATATTCAAGCGAACCGTATTAAACCACATCATGAATTGCTCAAGGATTGAATAAACAACAAGTGAGAACAGAATCGAAGTCTGAAAATGCAGAAAGTGCAAAAATAAACAAAAAAACAAGCGGCAAAGATGAAAAGAATCATACTTAAAGTAAACTCGGTACCATTAAAGTAACAATCAGCTGCATCTCTTTTGCTGAATGGCAAACCATACACAAAAAGTTGGGGCAAATGCAAAGGATCAGTCAACAACTTTTCTTTCTTGCTCCATCAACATATTCAAAATAAGTAACCAAAAGAATAATCACACGCAACAAAAAGAATCATCTGTTCTTCCCCACCATACTCTTCCTAATATGAAATCTCCTTCTCAAGATCTTAATTCCTCCCCAAAACACTAAAATTAACCAACAAATCATCTATTTTTCGTTTTCAAATTTTTTTTTTTTTCGTCGAAAACTTATTTACAACACTTAGATAAGAGAATCAAGAAAACGATAAGAAACACAATAGACGAAAGCCCGATTGCAACACCAAGAACAACCTTACTTGGACCATTGTGATGCTTTTTCTCCTCCACATTGCCATAATCATCATCATTATCGTCATCATCACTGGAGTCATCAGACGAGATATCCTTAGCTGCCGGCGGTGACATAGGCAGCCCGTGCTTGTCGCAAGGGGCAATCCCAAGCTTTACTTTCGACCCTAAAACCGAGCGGTTATAACAGAGATTAGAATTTTCTCCAACCCTCAATACCTCCAATTTCTTCAGAAATGTCGTGTTAAATGGTAAAACGCCGTGAAAATTGTTTCCCTCGAGATTCAAGAACTTTAGCATCTTCAAATCCCTTATGAAATTTGGAATGGTCCCATTGAGCTGGTTTGAGCCCAGATCGAGATGCATTAGGCCCGGCAATGCGGCTAGGGACTCAGGGATTGGGCCGGAGAGCGAGTTTCGGGCCAAAGATAGGTTTTTGAGCGAGCCCAGATCGCCGATTGTGGTGGGAATCGTGTCGTTGAGAGAATTTGAGGAGAGATTCAGGTGGACGAGATTCTCGAGACGAGTTAACGAGAGGGGTATTTTGCCTCTGAGATTATTCGCCGATAAATCGATGAAGGTGAGGTTGGGGTGCCAGTGTTTGGGTAGAGTGCCGGAGAGGTTGGTCTGGGAGAGGGTGACGGCGTGCAGGGACTTCATTCCGGCAAGGATTATGGAGGGGCCGCTGGCGGTGATACTCACGCGCGAGACGGTGAGGGTTGTGAGGTTCTGGAGGCGGCTGAGCCAGACGCCGGTGAGCTTCTTGAGGCTGCTGACGCAGGTGAAGGAGCGGAGGTTGGAGGCGAGCTCCGGGGGGAAGCGGATGGGAGAGATGGGGCAGGTGAGAAAGGAGAGGGAGGTGAGGGTTGAGAGGGATTTGAGGGCGGTGAGGGAGAGGGCGACGTCATCGGAGCAGTTGGCGAGGGTGAGGGAGATGACGTGGCTGAATGGAGCGCCGGCGTCGCACGCCGCGACGGCGGTGGAGGGTCGGGGAGGGGTGGAGCAGGGGTCCCTGGAGGTGGGGATGTTGAGGGATTGGAGTGCACGGAGCTGCTTGGGGTCGAGGGTGGAGGAGGAGGAAATGGGGGCGGCGGGAGAGGGGGTTTTGGGGGCGGCGGTGGGGGAGTGGGCGGAGGCCGGCGAGGATGTGGGGGAGATGGTGGCGGAGGTGGTGGAGGCGGCGGAGAGGAGGAGGAGAAAGAGGAAGGGAGAAGGATCCAGTGGTGGTGGTGGTGCCATTGTTGGGAGGTTTTTCAGTTCATTTGAGTGTGGTGTTTGTTTTTTGCAGAGAGAACTGTGAAAGTTGTATATTTTTATCATCAATCAAGATACACAAAAAAGTGACAGTTGGTGGGGCATAAAAATGCCCCTGGATTTGAATGTATTTACACAGCTTTGCTTTAATGCAGATGATATATAAAAGAAAGCTTTTTTTTTTTTATTGCACGAAATCCTCCTGTATTATACAAAATCTGCGCGTTTTCTCTCTGTATTTTAAAAATTGCGTCATACCCCCTTGTATTAACTAACTGTTGCACGATTCCCCCCTCTCCGTCCAACTTACCAGCGCGTGGATCACACTTTCATGTACTGCGATAATTATCATTTATTTTTTTATTTTAAAATTGAAATTACTATTTTGCCCCTACCTTTTCTACCAATTATTGGGCAAAAATTAATGTTTCGCAGCTCCTGAGATTCGAACCTGGGCCAAAACATTCATAGATAAGGCTTCAAACCACTTGGTCACCATCATTTTATGGTATATTTAACACAGATTCATTTAAACAATATGAATGACCGAAAACTTAATCAAATAAAAA